CAGGTAAATAATTAACAGCTTCCACATATCCTGCAGTCGTCTCATTGCCCCTGGAGCCGAACTGGCCTTCAGCGGCAGGATCACTCCCTTCAGAGCTTGCAGTGGGTTCCTGCCTGCGGGTGATTCTACAGCTCTCCAGGAGATGGCTGGCCTGAGCTTGGTTAGGCGCACCCTGTGTGGAGAAGGCTTTCATTACACAGACGGGGCTTAGTGAGGTGTCCCGGAGCATCCCTGATGCTATGTTCTGGGAGGTTTTTGCCCACTGGGGGTTAGGATGGGGCAGGTCCCCTGCTCAGCATCATGGCGTCTTTGCTCCCCTACATTTCCATCAGTCACAATTCCTCTGCCTTTGGTGCCTTCGCCAGCTCTCTGAAATGTGCCACTCTCTGTCCTCTCCATAACGCCCCTCCCTTAGCCCCGACCCACTCCCTAGCTATGGCCCTGGTGCCCTCTTTCCCTTTCCCGCTCCGTGGCTGTGAAAAATGTCCTCCTCGCGCCACTCAGCTCATACCCAACATGATCGTGGCTTGAGCTCAGTTTAGGGGCAATCCCGCAGGAATGCCCCTCCTCCACATCCCTAAGGATCTAATTGCTGCTGTTGGGTTCCTGCTCGGTAGCCATATAACGCAACTATCCCTTTTTAAATCTTAATCAATGAGAGGCCTGCACACTGACGCTGGGAGGAGGGTCAGCATCAGGAGGTCCTTTTTCCAACTGAGCAAACTGAGGCACAGTGCAGGGAAGTGACTTGACCAAGGTCACCCACTTAAAGCAGTGGCAAAGATAGGAAGAGCAGCCAGGCATCCTGACACCCAGGTGCCGGCTCTAACCAGTAGGCCATACTGCCATGCCTCAGCCAGTCAGTTCCATTGCACTTGTTTTCACAAGGGCTTTACATAAACAGCGGAGGTGCAAAGCCCTTGTACAATCTCAGAAAGGAGGGCGAGTTCACCCACGCAGCCGCACAAGCGGCTGTCTGGCTGCACGAGGAACACTGTGCAATACACATGCCTGCCTGGCAGCGTGGAACACAGTTCAGGGGTCTAGCGAGGGCCGAACAGCAGGGGCGGTAACTCGAGTGGTGGGGAATGTGTATATGGGGCAATGCACCAAGCCCTACCACCATGAGCATCATTAAACTATTACGCCATGAGCCAAACAGTCCAGCAATTTGGTTGCACTTGCCTCTGGGGAAGTGGCCTGTTCTGTGATCACCCACCGGACATGAAGGGGCGGCTGCCTTGACAAACCATGATGGGGCCAAGGAAACTAGGGTGACCAGACAGCAAGTGTGAAAAATCGGGACAGGGGATGGGGGGTAATAGGAGCCTATATAAGAAAAAGACCCCAAAATCAGGACTGTCCCTATAAAATCGGGACATCTGGTCACCCTAAAGGAAACTGACCCAGCTGCTGACCCATGCAGGAGTTGAGAAATTCATAGGCGCTCGGGCAGGTGCCTTGCTGTGTCTCAAGCCAGGCGAGCTAGCAAAAAGCCCCAAGCGGTCAGACAGCTACAATCGTGGGCTTTTGAACTAAGGCATCCAAAGAGCATTGCCCCTGGCAGAGGGAAAGAATTCACAGAGAAATGCTACCCCCCCTTCCCCTGCCACACCCCACAGCAAATGGCTGCAGCCCACAGCTGGGGGGCCAGCAGGAGATAAGACCACATGGTGGTCACGTGGCTGGGGCTGTGTTGGTAAGTGCCAGGGAGAGAGAGCACAAAATGCACAGGCCCAATGCCCCTTTCCCAGCACTTTGCCCTGCTCAAGGGACAAGCCTGGCACCACTAGGTGGCGCTAGTGTGGCAGCCAGAAAGCTGCTCCCAGTGATGGTGCGTGTACTCCATGGTGCCCCTGCCCCGAATCCCAGCCTAGCGGCTTGTGCTGGGCCAGAACACTAGCCGGTGTGTGGTTCAGGGCCCTCTGGCCTGGGCCAGTCTCTCGCTCTAGAAATCAACAGTGAGAGGTGCAGAGTGTGAGCCGTGGTTCTCAAACTATGGGTCGGGACCCCCAAGTGGGTCACGACCCAGGTCACCGGGGCCAGCATTAGACTTGCTGGGACTCGGGGCTGAAGCTGAAGCCCGAGCTCCCCGCACCCGGGGGCGGCAGGGATCGGGCTCCGCCGTCCCCTCCCCGGGGGGGTCATGTAGGAACGGTTGTCAGAATGGGGTCGCGGCCCAATGAAGTTGGAGAACCCCTGCTTCAGGTGGCCGTTGTGGTGTAGATACTAGTTGCTGCGTCCCTGAATACCTGCACAAATGCAGCAGCTACGGCACAGGCTGGAGAGAGGCAACCATCAGGGAGTGGGGCTATCTTGGGCTGGGCCAAAACACTGTGATGCCAAGATCATAGGTCAAATCAGAGGTCATCGATCAAATCTGCAGGCCGCCAAGTCAAAGGTCAACGCTAGGCAAAATGATCTTTCCCTTGAGACACATCCATGGTCCACCGCTGACCCCGCAGCAGCCCAGCTGCTAGGAATTACTCGAGGCGATGTTTTAAAAAAAATCTTTATTTAGAAACTAAAAGTCCTCAAACCTACCATATTTGTCTGTACAGCTCCCACCACGGCAAAAAGCAGCCTTGAGATGTTCACGTACCCAGTCAATACTCTCCTTACACATGCGCGTGCTATATCGCTGTCTACGGTATACCCTATAAATAGACATACAGAGCTACTGGACCCCGACATACATTACCCAGACACGTATAGTGAGAGTGCCCCTGTGTACGTTCGTTCGGAAAAGGAGGCCTCTGGATTCTGCAGGGAGAAGCAGAGAGGGTGGGAGCGACACTGCAGTTCCCGTCAGACACGCAGTGCGTTTGCACACGGGACGGGGACAGTGTGGGAGTGGAACTTGCACGGTTTTGTTGGGGGAGAGGAGGAGGTTGTCCATTTCCAGCCCCTTTCCTTTTCCACCCTTCCCCGCCACCAAAAAAACCCACCTTAAATAAAAGTTCACAGTAACTAAGTAAAACACAAACTTTTCCGGACCTGAACCCTAGCAGACTGTCTGCCTGGCCGCCTGGTTCTGAACTCAACAGCGCTGGATTTCCCGCGTGCCGTCCCCCCGCTTCCAAATGTGCACGGTGTTTGAGCAGAAGGTGGGCACAGGCCAAGGGTAAGTGGCAAGACCTGGCATGAGGTTGGCGTTTTTGGCTGGCTTTCCCCCTTTCTTGTTTGTTTTCTAATGTGAGGAATGCACAGCCTTGGCGAGAATGAAACCAGCACGTTTCCAGGACACATTCAAAAGGTGCTGCACAGGGGGACCGTTGAGGTAGTAGGAGTGCTTTCCTTTCAATGGCTGGCACCAGGGAGAGACGGGTGGCTGTGTGTGCACCCACCCATGTCTCGGTGCACACCACCGTATGTACCGTTGTGTCTATGTAGCAACATGCTGTGCTCACTCCGGCGGCTTTGCTCTGGCCCGTGTATGTGCATGAACACTCCGGTGTGTACCTGACTGTGTGGTTGGGCATGTGCACGCCTGTGAACCGGGCCTGCGCATGTGTGCAGAGATGCATCTCACTGTGGGGCTGTGCATGGACACATCTGTGCACCCGTGTCTGCAGGTATACATACAGCTGTGTCTTTGCAGGTGTAACGGGTGGGAGTGCATGGTCATGTGTATTCCTGCACCATGGATGTTGCTTTTTCTGGGGCCATGTTGCCTACTGGAGTGTTACCAGTGGACCTTTCAAGGCAGGTTTTCCTGGCACTGGGGTTAACCCCAATGTTGACTTCTAATTAGAACAGAATGTCCCATTCCCTCTCTCCACTAAGGGCCAGGGGTGGGGGCTGTAGACATCCAGCCCTGACGCCAGCCTGCCCTCTGCTCAGGTGGGAAAGAAGCCTAGCACCCGTTGCTGTGGTGACATGGCTGCTGCTAGGCCCGACCCAGCCACAAAATGGCCTCCTGCCCCGGCTACAGAGTTTCCCCCGTAGCCGTGCCATTGTCAGGCAGCTGGCAGTGTCCTCAGAGAAGTCTCTGGGCCACAGTTGCTGGCACAGGGAGGGAAATGAAAATCCTCTGTGGAACTAGCACCACAAAGCTCGTGGGTGGCACCATGACCAGCTGGCGGGAGGGTCGTGTCTCCCAGGGCCTGGAGTCTCCAGGAATTGAAGATTATGTGAGGTGATGAAACCTTCAGGAATACAGCCAACCAAAATTGGCAACCCATGGGGGAGGGGAGAGAATCGCTTGTAGATGACTCCAGGCCGTGCCGCCTTTGGCTGGAGAGACAACGGAGTGACCAGCAGGCACTGGCATTAGAAGGGTACTTGTCCAAGGCGGTTGATGAGCCATAGGCAAATGAAGCCATTAGAATGGGGGTGCTGCAGCCTATTGATCTGGGGCAGCGTATGACTGCTCTGGGGAGGCTGCACTGGCCAGACCGAATTGAGATTCACTGTGTGCTTGTTTTGAAATTTGCAATCCCTCCTCCCCTTCCCCCTAGGAGAGAGAAATCCCTGAGGAATTCACACCAGGCGCATTCCTCTGTTCAGGGGCTCCCAGGCAAGAGGAGGAGAGAATGACACAGGGACACTGCGGAGCAGGGCATGTGCCAGTCAGTCAGAGTCGTAGGACAGGAAGAGACCTCGAGAGGTCGTCTAGTCCAGTTCCCAGCACTCAGGGCAGGACTAAGTATTCTCTAGACCATCCCTGACAGGTGTTTGTCTAACCTGCTCTCAAAAATCTCCAAGGATGGAGATTCCACAACCTCCCTGGGCAGTTTATTCCAGTGCTTAATCACATGACAGGAAGTTTTTTCCTAATGTCCAACCTAAGCCGCCCTTGCTGCAATTTAAGTCTATTGCTTCTGGTCCTATCCTCAGAGGTTAGCGAGAACAATTCTTCTCCCTTCTCCTTGTAACAAACTTGTATGTACTTGAAAACTTATCATGTCCCCTCTCAGTCTTCTCTTCTCCAGACTAAACAAACCCAATTTTTTCAATCTTCTCTCCTAGGTCATGTTTTCTAGACCTTTTATCATTTTTATTGCTCTTCTCTGGACTTTCCCCAATTTGTCCACATCTTTCCTGAAATGTAGCACCCAGAAGTTTTCCCCAAGGTGATCCTTGTTCTCTCTCTCTTTTCTCTCATCCTCCTTTTTCTTTTTTAGCAACCCCCCAACCCAGTTGGGGATAAAAAACGCAGTACAGTACAGAAATACCCCATTAGAAACCTTCCCTCCCCCCGATCACAGTCTCTCTCCTCTCGTCGCCGGAAGGGAAGGCTCTGGAGTAGTCCCAGAATAGTTTGTTGCCTTCATCTGGTTCTAGGTTCTTTCCCCTCGCCCCCCAAGACAAGGTTCTAGATGCTCCAACCCTTCCTGCCACAGCTCCTCAAGGAAGCCACACGCTAAAGGACGTTGAGCTTTCTGGAGCAGGTTAAGTTACTGTGGACCAGGTTCCACATCTGGAGCAGCTCCAGGGGCAACAGTTTGTGAACCACCATCATGCTCCGGTAGAAACACGGCTCCTTGTTCATCTTGCTGTTCTTGTTCTTCACAATGCCGAAGGTCTTGAAGCCCTCGTGTCTGACTGGCGCCACCTTGAGGACCTCCAGGCACATCCCCAGGAAGACGTCATCGATGGGGTACAGCTCCAAGGTCTCCGAGGTCTTGTGGAGCTTTATGGCCAGGGGCCCATCCATGAGGAAACCTCCACCACCCGCATAGGGTGGGTAGCTGTTCTTGTTGTAGAGGGCGCTGGGGATGTAGTACTTGTTCTCTTTCTTCCGGATCGGCCTGGCCTTGTACAGGACGTCCCCCACAAACAGGTCTTCTTCCTTCTTGTTGTCCAGGAACTCCAGGATGTTGTTGGGGCTAACGAAGACGTCGTCATCCCCCTTGAAGATGAAGCGAACGCTGTCGCAGTAGATGTTGAGCCACTTTAGGAAATGGACCTCCTTGAGGGTGAGGTTGAAGAAACTGTCCAGGAAATCCCATTGTAGGATATCCCCATAGATGTGGTTCTCATAATCCAGCAGCTTCTGGTAGTTGGCCCTCTCTTCTTCTTTGGCGGCCGTGCCCAGCAGAAAGAGAGTCCTGATCTTTTTCCCATCCACCTCTTTCTCCTGGCCCCAGGTCCTTCGGATGGCCTCCCGCCGGTCGTGCTGCGTGATGATGGACTTGACCACAATCAGCAGGTAAATGTCACCCCTGCACTTCTCCGGGTGGTTGATCAGCATGGGGAAGTACCTACAGTGCCGGTAAAGCAGGAACTGCCGAAAGTTGGGTTCCAGCCCCTTGAACCAGTCCAACTTGCTGATGTTCTGGTTGGCCGTGCAATTGATAGTGGTGACGTCCCAGGATTTCACCTGGTTCTCAGTGACTCCCTCCGCCTCCAGGTGGGTCTTCTCCTTCTTGCTCTTCCAGAAGTTGCCGGTCTTGGAGAAGCTGCCATCTCTCTTCTGAGCTTTCACGGGCTCTTGGTGCAATTCTTTCTGCTGCTGGCCCTGAATGAAATGGCTAGGAGTCATCCCCCTCTGCAGCACCGTCACCATGATCACCAGCACAAAGGACAGGCAGGCACTTTTATAGATTGTCTTCTTCCTAAAGAGACAAGATGTATGGTTAAGGCAAGGTTCTTACCCACGAAAGCTTATGCTCCCAGTACTTTTGTTAGTCTCAAAGGTGCCACAGGACCCTCTGTTGCTTTTTACAGATTCAGACTAACACGGCTACCCCTCTGATACTCAGCTGGAGTAGAATCTCAGGGGTCAGCCCACTCTGTGCGAGAATCTTTTATTCTTACAATCAGAGAGACACTGCAATGCAAATGCCAGACAATGGTTATTACATAAGAGAAGGACACTGAGCACGACAAACAGAGAGAACATAAGAATGGACATACTGGGTCAGGCCAATAGTCCATCTAGCCCAGTGTCCTGTCTTCCGACAGTGGGCAATGCCAGGTGCCCCAGAGGAATGAACAGAACAGGTCATCATCAAGTGATCTATCCCCTGTCACCCATTCCCAGCTTCTGGCAAACAGAGGCTAGGGACACCATCCCTGCCCATCCTGGCTAATAGCCATTGATGGACCTATCCTTCATGAATTTATCTAGGATAGGTTAAAGGAGAGGCAGGAAAGGCAGCCCCACTCCAGGGTATGTGTAAAGCCAATTGAAGTTTTTTGTCTATTCATTTAAGAAGTTTTAGCCGGTTTACAAATTCTCAGCATGTAAATATCAGACACAAAACGACAATAATTAAAACAGTGTGGGCAGAAAGTTTTCTTGCTGACATACAGGGTTTCATCAAAACTGAATTTTTTTGCAGTGTCAGTTCTAGTGAAAATTTTCTAATTTTTCCACCATAAATATTAAAATCAATGTTCACTTCCAAGTGCCTTAAAATGTCATTTTGTTTCACATTTTTGGTTTTTTGGGGTGAGGGTAAGCAAATCAGAACGATATTTTATGTCGAACTGTCAATTTGAAAGATCGGATTCCATTTCCACTTAAAATGTTGTTTAGGTCTTTTTTAAACTGAAGGGGAAAAAGGAACCAACTCCACCCTCGCCTCCATATTTTGCCCTCACCTCTATATTTTAAGTTGAAATGAAATGAAAATTCATTTTAAAATGGCGATTTGAACAAAAATATCCATTTTGAAACAATTCTGAACTCTCTTTGGGGAAAGAAGGGGAACTTTTCAACTTAAAAATGTGAACCAACATTTTTCCTGGGAAAAAAGTGGATTTTATGCCCAGGTCTAGGTAAATATGATTTACTTTCACATTCATATGGAGGGTAGGAAGATGCTCTAGGTCATTATTTGAATGGCTCTCACCAACATTTGTTTTCAAACTTTTGGGGCAAATTTTTCTCAGTCTTCAACATTTGCACTCTCAAAACACTGCATGTTAAACCCCTCCCGCCGTCACATGCTCCTTGTAATTTCTCCCTGACATAACAACTAGGGTGACTAGATCACAACAGTAAAATATCGGGACACATTGGGGTGCCATCAGTCCTGCCCCTATGGGAGTCCGCCCCCACTCCTTCCTGGCTCCGCCCCCACTCTGCCCCAGGCCCCGCTCCCTCCCCGCTCTGCCCCCCCCCCCCACAGCACCCTTCCTCATCCTCAGGCCTACCGCTGGCTCTTCACCCCCCCACACTCGCTCGCCCACCACTCGCCCCTATGGCGCCGACTTCCCCTCTGCCTGGTGGATGCTCGCCTTCCCCTCCGCCTCTTCCCGCCCCTGCACCGCCCTCTCCCTGCCCCCATTCCACCCCCTTCCCCAAGTCCCCACCCCTGCCCTGCCTCCTCTCCGCCTCCTCCCCTGAGCGCGCTGTGTCCCCACTCCTCCCACTCCCTCGGGGGAAAGTCCTAAGCGCCGCCAACCCCAACTATACATACAATATGATGGGGGCTAATTTAGCTACAACTAATCAGGAAAGAGATTGTGGAGTCATCGTGGATAGTTCTCTGAAGACGTCAACGCAGTGTGAAGCGGCAGTCAATCTGCTTCGCCATCGCTCTTGCATTATGGCATGACAACCCTCCATGCCTGACTTTTATCCCTCACCCCCGGAACTCGGCTTGGCAGAATTGGTTTGTTTGAGCTGAGACTAGGCAGGTGACTGCTGAAGGCGAACATTGCTGCCACGTTTGAAGAAAATTTCTCACATTCATTACGGGCAACAGATCGTTTTAAAAGCGGGCCCCGGGCTGGAAATGCTGGTTTGGTTCTAGGCCCTTGGGGTCCCGCTAGCTCTGAAGCAGCTGGTTGTGACTCCCTGGCAATTTGGCACATCGTTAAAATCTCCTTGGAAACTCATGCCACACCCCTGTTTGAAGAACATTGTGATAGCCAAAACTATTAGCCATTTTATCTAACTGAAAGCGGTTACTAGAGGGTCGCACACTTGGTAGCTGGTGTAGGCCAAGTTCACTACACAGACCAGGGGCGCCTTGCGTTCTACACCCCACAAGCTGCCTCTGTACCACCCTCATAGCCCCTTCTTTGTCAGGGACAACTCCCCCTCCCGTGTGCCCCCCATTCCATCCTCCCCTATACCAGTGTTAGGATATAGATATTCAAGCCTGTCTGTAAAGGCCTATACTTTAAGAATTTAGGTATATGTTTATCTAGGGTTACCATATTTATTAAATAAAAAAAGAGGACCCTCCACGGGCCCTGGCCCCGCCCATTTCCCCACCCCCAGCCCCGCCCCAACTCCGCCCCCTCCTCCCTCCCACTCCCAGCCACGGGGAAAGGGCTGCCCGAGCGCTACTGGCTTCACGGTTTGCCGGGCAGCCCCCAGACCCTGCGCCCCCGGCCGGCGCTTGCCCAGCGCAGCTGGAGCCCGGGAGGAGAAGCGCCCAGCCGGGGGCGCA